GGATGGATGGATGGATGGATGGATGGATGGATGGATGGACAGACTACTCACATTAGGACTAAGCACCTCCATTTGCAACTGGGTCCTAGACTTCTTAACAAACAGATTGCAGTCGGATCCACAACTTCTCCTCCACCATAACCCTCAGCACTGGCTCCCCTCAGGGATGTGTGTTGAGCCCTCTCCTGTTTACTCTGCTCACGTATGACTGTGCACCTACCCATCCAGGCTGTCATATTGTAAAGTTTGCAGATGATACAGCGGTGGTGGGATGCATCACAAACAACGATGAGTCCAGCTACAGCCAGGAGGTGGAACACCTAGAGAGCTGGTGCAAGAAGAGCAACCTTCACGTCAATGTGAAGAAGACAAAGGAGATGGTCGTGGACTTCAGAAGGAACAAACACACCTACCCCCACCCAGAACACTGATGGATCAGCGGTGGAAGTGGTCTCTTGCTACAAGCATTTGGGTGTGCACCTGAATGACAACCTCAGCTGGGGCAACAACACCACCAGCCTGATCAAGAAAGCTGGTCTGGGAAGCTCAGTCCTCACCTCCTTCTACAGGTGTGCAGTGGAGAGCATCCTGTGCTCCAGCATCAACGTGTGGCATGGAGGCTGCACAGCTGCAGAAAGAAAAGCTTTGCAGAGAGTGGTGAAGGCTGCACAGAAGATGTTGGAGTCAGTCTCCACATCATCACAGACATCTACACCACCAGATGCAGGAAAAGGGCCACCTGCATCATGAAGGACCCCACTCACCCAGCACACACACTTCTTGCCTCGCTCCCCTCAGGAAGGAGGTTGAGGAGCATTAAGTGTAGAACCACTAGACTGAGGAACAGCTTCTACCCTGAAGCTGTTAGACTCATGAATCTATAACCAGAATAATCACTGTGAAGAATCACATCATGTTGCTGCTGATTTGTTTCATGTTGCTGATTTGTTTCATGTTGCTGCTGATCTGTTTCATGTTGCTGCTGATCTGTTTCATGTTGCTGCTGATCTGTTTCATGTTGCTGCTGATCTGTTTCATGTTGCTACTGATCTGTTTCATGTTGCTGTGTTCATTCGTACTCATTTGCTCACACTGACTCATGTTCGTGCTGCTGTTTGGCGTTATGTTTTTATGCTACAATTTCTTAGTGTATTTTTATTAACGTTTTTTCTTAGTTCATATCTTAGATTTTATTACTGGTTGTTTTTTTTTACATTTTAATACTTTTGTTGGATGTAACTGGGACCCTGTGTACACAGTTTCGTTCCACCACATGTACCACTGAAAAAAGGAGTGGCTTTTAATTTCATTGTACTTGCGTATAATGACAATAAAGGCATTCTGATTCTGATGTGGTGGAATGACAAATAAAGAACTTTGAATCCTTGAATCCTTGAAGTTACATGTGACCCTCGCTCATTTTTGGAAGTTAAGTTCAGCACAATGTTATATAAGATTCAACTATGACCCACAAAAAGAACACGACCAAAGAATTAAGTCAAGACTAGAAGAAATACCTTCAAATGTTTCATTGTTCCTTGGATGGAAAAAAAATATTTTTTTTCACTGTGAGGGACAAAATATACCATGATGTCTCCTTATGGTTCCTCTGCCACATCAAGTTTCCAGTTTAACATTTTAAACATCATTATTTTAGTTTCTGAATTACTCATGCCAAAAGGAAGTTTTTAAAGTGTGTGGCTGTTTGTGCAGAGATCTCATGTTGTCATGTTCACTGATTTGCAGCTTGTTTAAAATTCTAGGCTACAGATCCGAATGAGCTGCACGAACTAGAAACTGCATGAACTAGAATCATCTGAGAAATATATGGCCAAAAATATGCGCTTTTTATCATAAAGACACTAACTGGATGCCAAAAACTTAATAACATTTACAGCAATTGTTTGTACTGAGTTGTTGAAAAATAAAATAAATCTAGGTTTGGACAGTCTGATGGGATGTCTGATCTATAAAGAGACTGTAGCTCTTTAAAAAATGTACAATAATATTTCAATCCTTCAGAAATGATTGTAAAAGAAAACTCCTAATAAGATGAAATTCGGGTGTTATCTCAGCGATTGCTCTTTAGGTGTATCAGACATGGGTCACAAACCTTCATTCTGAGTGGATTCAAGTAAAAAGGTGAGATTAAGTTCCTGTCTGAAATCTGACCTCCATCATTTTTGTCCCATCAAGGACCCGATGAGTATGGACTGGAGACTCCACAACCCCGAGCCAGTGACAGTTCCTTATCTGAGCCCGCTGGTGCTGTGGAAGGAGCTGGAGAGCCTGCTGGAGAACGAGGGGGACATGGTGATCAGTGAAGCCGACCTGGTGGACCACCATCCCATCATCTACTGGAACCTGGTCTGGTACTTCAGACGGCTGGATCTGCCCAGCAACCTGCCGGGTCTCATCCTCACATCGGAGCACTGCAACAGAGACACTCAGGTCAGAATCACAAACTCAGACACTGGTCTTCGGTCAGCCAGCTCACAATAAAATCTATAAAAAATGCTTTGCAACTGAGCATAAAAATACTTCAGATAAAACATTAATATTGTGCAATTATTGTGATACGGTAATAAATATAATGGTTTGTCATTTATGTTTTAAATGGCAGTGGGTGGGAAGAACACACAGGGGTTGGGTAGGATTGGGTACTGGCACATTTTTGTCCCCCATTGCAGTGTTTTTTGGCCTCCAAACATGGTGTGTATTATGGCATCCAAAAAATTCAATTTTAGACTCATTTGACCAGACTTTATGCTCCCAGTAAGTCACAAACTTGTCTGAATGTTGATGAGCAAATTTTAAACGTTCTTGAACATGCTTTTGTTCAACAGTGTTTTACTTGGTGAGCATGCATACAGGTCATGAAGGTTGAGTATATCCAACATTTTTCAGTCAGGTCATCTGGACAGATTGTATACCTGGATTATTGAACATGGACTTTGTTGTTTTCAAGGTTGAGTATAATTCTTATTGCTTTCTTTGAAACATTTGTACCTGCTGATTCCAGGTCTTTCTGGAGCTCTCCACACGTGATCTTTGGCTTTGACTCTTCTGATAATTCTTTTCACTCTCCTGTCTGAAACGTTGCAAGGAGTACCTGGTCGTTGCTGGTTTATGGTGAAATTATGTTCTTTCCACTTCCATATTATGGCCCCAATAGTGCTCACAGGAACCCAGTAATTTAGTAATGTTTCTATAAACAATGCCATTAGTATGGTTTTTAACAATAAGGTTGCAAAGGTCTTGAGACAACTCACTGGTTTTACTCATCATGAGGTGTTGTGTGGCACCTTGGTTATGACCATCAGGTGAACCATCTGATATTATTTTTCACTCTGGCAGGATTGTTTTCTAGCTACTGACAGATTTCAGCTGGTGTTGTGACTTTCCATGGCTTTTTGCACCTCTTTCTTCATGTGTTCTGTCGAGACAAAATGTATTTATGTACTGCTCTATTACTGTTATTGTGAATGATATTAAAATTTTCCATGATCCTTTTCCCTATATTGTAATTATAATAAGTCTTGATGTGACCGGTCAGTAAAGAGACAGTTCAATCATTTTTCCCTGTGTCATTTCTCACTATTGCACAAAACTTGATTTATGGACATCCATGGTTTGATTTCTTTGCCTGTGTAGATTGGGTGGGTTGTTTCTGACATCTGGTGAGAATTTCATGTCAATAGCACCTTTATAAAGATATTTACTTACACAGTTGGTGGCATGTTCAATACTTAATTCGCCTGTACCCTCTGTCTGACTGCCATGTGCATGTTGTAAACATGATAACTTGAAAAATTAGTTGGATGCTGACTTCCATTTTGGTGTGCGGCTACATTTGGGGTTTAAAAAAGTCACTATCCAAAATTGGGTTGCCACGTTAAAATCCAAGATGGCCACCACCATATACAGGTCCTTCTCAAAAAATTAGCATATTGTGATAAAGGTCATTAGTTTCCATAATGTAATGATAAAAATGAAACTTTCATATATTTCAGATTCATTGCACACCAACTGAAATATTTCAGGTCTTTAATTGTTTTAATACTGATGATTATGGCATACAGCTCATGAAAACCCAAAATGCCAGTCCCAAAAAATTAGCATATTTCATCCCACCAATGAAAGACAAGTGTTTTTAATACAAAAAACGCCAACCTTCAAATAATCATGTTCAGTTATGCACTCAATACTTGGTCGGGAATCCTTTTGCATGAATGACTGCTTCAATGCGGCGTGGCATGGAGACAATCAGCCTGTGGCACTGCTGAGGTGTTATGGAGGCCCAGGATGCTTCTGTTAGGAGTGCGCGGGGAACCCAGATGATATGAGACCCAGAAC